TGTGGCCTTATGACACACTTCCGGTGATGTCAGGGGGTGTGGCCTTATGACACACTTCCGGTGATGTCAGAGGGTGTGGCATATGCTAATGAGTTATGCTAATGAGTTCCCCTAGCTCTTTTTCTATGAAATGACCCCTGGGTGGTAGAAGATGGAGCTGGAACAAACCGGTCTTGCTGTTAAGCACATTTTTGTGTATCTTTTATCCCCCTTCTCTCTTTCATTTAGAGACATCATTTTAGATGATGTTGGAAACAGAATGGAAACAGTAGCTATGAAATGTTGTGGTGCGCTAGTACTTTCTGTTTCAGAAGGAGGCCGAACCTTTTGTGACCCAACTATGAAGCTCACAGAATCACAGAGTTGGAAGGGGCCCTACAGACCATCTAGTCCAACCCTCTGCCCAGTGCAGGATCAGCCTAGAGTGTCCCTGACAAGTCTTTGCCCAGCCACTGCTTGAAGACTGCCGGTTCCTAAAATAACAACCTTGAGATGGAAATTGCAGTTTCTGGAAATCTGCCTCAAATACTGGCGTGTCTCCAAGAATCCATGGAGAGGTGTTTTCCTCTCTTCTGCTTCCTGCCGCAGCCCGCTTTATTCCTAGAGATCCAGAGGAGTTAGCCGTGTTGCTGCAAAATAGTAAAAATCTCAGTAGCACCTTTAAGACCAACAAATTTTATTGTATTATAAGCTTTTGAGAAACACAGCTCTCTTTGTCAGATGCATGCATCTGATGAAGAGAGCTGTGTTTCTCGAAAGCTTGTGCTACAATAACGTTTGTTAGTCTTAAAGGCGCTACTGAGATTTTAAATATTTTGTTCCTAGAGAGGCAGCAGATAGCTATGAACAGCATAGTGGGCAAAGCAGGGGTCTGCAGTGGGAAGGAGGAACCAGTAGACATCACTGTCCACTCTTTTGCAAACAGACCTGCCATTCTTTCAGAGGCACTGTGGGGTTGGGCACTTGCCACCGTCCAAGAAGAAATATGCTACGGCCCTTCTGAGTGTTGCCATCATCTGGGAAGCTGGGAGGGATTTTGTTGTCTACCAAAACGCAAGCTCTCCAAGACAAAATGGCCAGTGGGTCTCCCTTGGAGATGGCAGCAAGTGCAGACCAAGGTCATCTTATGTGTTAATGTTCCTAAACCAGCAGGCTCCAAGCTAGCATGCTGCTCTTTTCCATGCCTCTCAGACGAGGCTGAGGCACCCATTAAACCACGGGAACTTTCCTGAGGTTCAATTCATGGCACTGTGCATGGTGCTGATCAAGAGGTTTGCATGTATATTTTGGCATGGGTGAGGCTCAAAAAGTAAAGTGGAAGAATCCACTCTGAGTCACTCCTGCAGTGGGATTACATTTTAAAACAAAAGGGCTTCTCAGAGTATCTCTGCACAAGGGCAGTTGTTCAGGCCAGCGGGCAGCGGAAAGTGCCGTTAAGTCACAGCTGACTTATGGCAATCCCATAGAGTTTTCAAGGCAAGGGGTCTTCAGAGGTGGTTGGCCATTGCCTGCCTCTGCATAGTGACCCTGGTATTCCTTGGTGGCCTCCCATCCGACTACTAACCTTAGTTTCTGAGACTGACAAGACAGAGTCGGCTTTGGCTATCCAGGTCAGACCCAAATCAGGCACATTCAGGGCTCTTTTTGTAGCAGGACCTCCTTTGCATATTAGGCGACACACCCCTAATGTAGCCAATCCTCCAAGTAGCCCCTGTAAGAAGAGCTCTGTAAGCTCTTGGAGGATTGGCTACATTAGGGGAGTGTCGCCTAATATGCAAAGGAGGTCCTGCTACAAAAAGAGCCCATCTGTTTATGCAGAAGAGAATCTTAGACTATGTGGATCTTGTTCTGATCTTGCTTTGCACTACAGAGGCCTGGAGTAAACAGCCTGCAATCCCTTTTTTATTATAAACTTGAATACTGCCAAATTAATCATCCGGCCGTTTCAGGTCCACAGGATGGACATCATACAAGTGCCTTGTGGCACACAAGTCTTATCTCGCCCGTGTGTGCAAAAATTCACCATCCGGCTCATCTTCATCAGGCTGTAGTCCTCCCTCCCAATGACTACTGACAACGTGGAGTGAAGGCGTGGCGGCTCACACTGAAATAGGGGCGAATGCCATGGAGAATACTTCCAAGAACTCTAGCAATGATGTAGAACTCTATGGTGAGACCATTTTTGGGCAGCCATGTGAAAAAAGCCAGTGGGTGATGCCGGTGGGTGGGACATCCAGCTAACCTCGACCAGGGCCAGGGATTTTTCAGCTCTGGCCCCTGCCTGGTGGAATGAGCTCCCGTGTGAGATCAGGACCCTTCGAGACCTATTGCAGTTCTGCGGGGCCTGCAAGACGGAGGTCTTCTGCCGGGCATTTGGTCACGCAGGGCTCTTTTTGTAGCAGGAACTCCTTTGCATATTAGGCCACACACCCCTAATGTAGCCAATCCTCCAAGAGCTTACAGAGCTCTTCTTACAGGAGCTACTGTAAGCTCTTGGAGGATTGGCTACATTAGGGGTGTGTTGCTTAATATGCAAATGAGTACCTGCTACAAGGCAGCAGATGTCCCCCCCCAGCTTCTCTGATCCAAATTGTCCACCAGTGGCCCGATTCTGACTGGTCATCCAACGACTTCTATAGTTAACACAGTATTTTATGATGTTTTATGATATTTTATGTGTAAATTGTTATTTTAATACTGTTTTATTAATTTTATTTAACTGTTGTACACTGTCCTGAGCCCATCTGGGGAGGGCAGTATATAAATCTAACATAAATAAATAAATAAATAAATAAATAAATAAATATGTTGGACAGAAGGTAAGAGAAGAAATCCAGGCTCCTAATATGTACACTAAGCCTACCTAATCCACAGAAATCTGAATACCCGCTGGTTGCAAGAACTGGTGGTGCTCAGCCATTGGTGCACATTGGCACATTTTTTAAATCTCACCTTCCTCCAAGGCGATCGGGGCACCACGCGCCATTCCCTCCTCCGTTTTATCCTCACAATAACTCAGTGAGGAAGGTTAGACTGAGAGGGAGTGACTAGCCCAATGACTAAATGGGAATTTAAACCTGGGTCTCCCTGGACCACCACCGTAGCCCCAAGAGAGCTGGGAGATCTAAGCACATGCAGGTAGCTTAGAAGGCTTGGCCTGAAGCTCATTGTTCAAGCCCTGGAGCCCCTCGCTGATAAATCACGGACTCTGCAGGCACAGAGACATGGTAGAGCCCAGAACGGCCAGGGTGTGGCCTGCCAGGCTGGTGACTGACACACCAGAGACGCGGCTGCATTAGGCCAGGCCGGGCTCTTCCTAGGCAGAACTTCAATATAGACTGCTCCACGTATGCTTAGAAATAAGGAAGGGTCAGGGCTGGATCTTTTAGGGATAGGCAGCGGTCATTTCGTAGAAAAAGAGCTAGGGGAACTCATTAGCATACCTCATTAGCATATGCCACACCCTCTTACATCACCGGAAGTGTGTCATAAGGCCACACCCCCTGACATCACCGGAAGTGTGTCATAAGGCCACACACACCGCCCCCAATGGTCCCGGCCGGCGGGAGTGCAAGGAAGCCCCGCGAAGGCCCTCCCTGGCCCCAGGCAGGCAGGGGTGGGGAGAGGCAGGGAGGAAGCAACTTACCCTCCCTCTTCTCCTGCCTCCTCCTGACTGAATGAGGGCCGGAAGCGGGGCGGCCGGAAGCAGGGGGCGGGGCTTCGTCATATGCCCCGCCCCCTGTACCTCACCCGTGGGAACTGCGATCCCCCACGATCCCCCCCGAAATGACCTCTGCTATCACCCCTTCTCCATACCCACCTTCACTCTTTGGGCTGGATCCAACCAGCTTTTCCACTGGTGAAAAAGAAGGAGAGGGCTCCTTTGACCACCTTAAAAGGCCATGATAGAGAACATGGGACCCACACAGATTTAAAAAAAAACATGTGGGGGTGGGGAGCATAGCAAACAGGAGAACTGGGCAACATTGAGTGGGAAAGCTGGCTGGATCCAACCCTATTTTTACGGCACCCACGTTTCTCTCTCCCGTCCCGCAGTATATCAGAGAGAGTTTTCATTTAGCAACTGTCCTGCCTTCTCCTGCCTCTGGCACAGCAATTTGTTAATCTTAGATTAAGCTGCTAAGCAGGGCCGTGTCAATTAATCAAACGCTCTGGAACAAACAAGTTAAAATATTAGCTGATTATTGCTGGCATTGTGTTTATGCGCGGCATCTGCACGAAATATTGCAGATCAAACCTCCCTGCCCAAATTGAAAATGCTAAACCTATTGAAAACCTTTAATGACTGCCGAGGTGGTTGATAGTAATCTGTTACACTAATGGCATTATACACCACCATGTCGGCAGCAATCTCGGAAGCACGAGAAATATGAGCGTATGCAAAAGGCGGCTGCCTGTTAATGTTCATTTGGAGAGGAGGTCCCTGCCCCCTGACATTGTTCAACTTCTGACACCCCTTCTTCTGGAGTCAGTTAGTAATGGACTTGGAACACTTAGAAAACCTTTTAAAAATGGTAACCAGCCAAAACCACCCAAGAACAGCCAACTGTCAATGTCAGGGTAACCTTGCTGCTTTGTAATGCTGGATGCAAAGTCAGTGGGGGAAATAACATACTTGTATGGAAACTGCATCCATATCATGATACCATGAGAGGGAGGGCAGGAAGGGTTGCATCAGTGCTTAGTTCTTGTGGCCCTTTCTTACGTGCCCAGGGAAATGCCGATCGCCACTTTGGGGTCAGGAAGCAATTTTTCTCCAGGCCAGTTTGGCTGGGGATCCTGGAGGTTGTTTTTTTTTTTGTCATCTTCTGATCGTGGAACAGTGGTCACTGGGGGTGTGGAGGGGGAGGTATTTGTGAATTTCCTGCTTTGTGCAGGGGGTTGGACTAGATGACTGTGGAAGTCCCTTCCAACTCTATGATTCTATATGTCCACACAAAAATTTTATTAAATACAGAGAAACAAATGGGTAGAAATGTGCAGTAACGAAAGCCTAGTTTTCACAGAAGGGGTACACCTGTGTCTGAGCCAGACTACTACAGTTTTTAGGTGGTGACTCACATAAAGGTAAAGGTTCCCTTGCTCGAAAGCCAGTCGAGTCCGACTCTAGGGTTGCGGTGCTCATCTCCGTTTCAAAGCCGAAGAGCCAGTGCTGTCCGAAGACGTTTCCGTGGTCATGTGGCCGGCATGACTAAACACCAAGGCGCACGGAACGCTGTTACCTTCCCACCGAAGTGGTCCCTATTTATCTACTTGCAATTTCTTGCTTTTGAACTGCTAGGTTGGCAGGAGCTGGAACTAGAGACGGGAGCTCACTCCGTCATGCGGCACCCGGGTCTTGAACTGCTGAACTACTGACCTTCCACAGCCTGCAGTTCAGCGTCTTAACCACTTGAGCCACCGCAGCTCCTATGTAATACTACGTAATACTACGTAATGCTACGTAATACTACAAACCAAAGCACATAATGCCTTCATTATGCTGATATTGTTGATATCAACATTTGGGAGGAAGATGGAGAAGCAGATGGCACACCACAGGGTTTCCTAGCAATGGCCCACCACAGTGATGTCTCAGTGAAATCTAGGCCTTTGCCTCATTGGAAACAATGAGAGGGAGCTTGACAAAAACCAGCCTAGTTTGTGTTGAGTTCACTGAGACCTAGTTATAATTAACTTTTGCTGAATATTGTACCCAGTTTCTTTTATTGGGCCAACCTGTATTTTAAAACTTTATTTTCCAATTTATAACCCACTTTAGACACGAAGGACTCTCAAGGTGGCTCATAAGTTGCAACAGAAAGAGAATAATTTAAACTGCAATTAAAAGCTTAATTAAAAACATTCATATTATCCCTTCTCCATTAGACACAGAGGTTTGGAGCAGTCAATAAACAGAAATAATATTATATCTTCAGGCTGATGACTGCTTGACTCAGTCTGCTGGTTTCATTCATCCCTCACCGCCCGATTAAATGGTGTTTTAAATGGTGCTGTTATTGGAGAGCTATTCTGAAGAAGATAATCTCCCTCAGCAGACATCCCGTCATGAAGACTTTTCTCCCTGAAATTTAGTTTTCCCTCTACTTTTATTCTCCTGATCTGTCTTTGTATCTTGTGTGTGTATGTGTGTGTGCGTGTGTGTGTGTGTGTGTGTGTGTGATTGGCCGTTAGACATCTTTGATTTGCCTGTTAGAGTCTTAATCAGTGCCGTGAGCATCCCCCAGAGATTCAACAAAGTATACAGACTCTCAGGGCTATTTTTGGGCAGGAACGCACAGGAACGGAGTTCCGGCTGGCTCCCAAGTTGGCCACGCCCAGCAGGAACCCATTAACATAATAGGCCACACCCAACAGCAGAAACTCATTATGATTGGCTACAATTAGGGGGTGTGGCCTAACATGCAAAGGAGTTCCTGCTCCAAAAAAAAAAGCCCTGGGTTTTGACAACAAGGTAAAGAGAATAAGAAGCAAAAGGTGGGTGTGGTTGGATGACCACACTTCTGGTAACATGGGGTGTGGCCTAATATGCGAATGAGCTGTGCTGACAGGGGTATGGCCTAATATGCTAATGAGTTCCTGCTGTTGGGTATGGCTTATTATGCTAATGAGTTCCTGCTGGGCTTTTTCTACAAAAAAAGCCCTGCAGACATTCATCTCAGGCATTTCATTTTTGCCAAGTTATAGTTAATAATTGGTACCAATGAGAGTCAGTGTGGTGTAGTGCTTAGGAGCGCAGACTCTAGTCTGGGAGAACTGGGTTTGATTCCCCACTCCTCCATATGCAGCTGCTGGCATGACCTTGGGCAAGCCACAGATCTCTCAGAGCTGTTCTCTCAAGAGCAGTTCTCAGTCAAAGCTCTCTCAGCCCGACATACCTCACAGGATGTCTGTTGTGGGGAGGGGAAGGGAAAGGAGATTGTAAGATGCTCTGAGACTCTTTTGGGTAGTGAAGGGCAAGGTATAAATCCAATCTCTTCTTCTCTTCTTCAGTGTTTGTGTTTGAATTTTGTAGCAGTTCCATACATTGCTAACTATCAGTTTTATTTTGTGGGCAAGGAAGAATTCTTTGGGCTTCTATAAGATATCATGACATGATACAAGATTGCCTCAACAAAACAGAGTCGAAAACCACGGCCCAAAGCATTACCCTCCTTTATTAGAAGCTGTTAAAGCAGTAGTTTTAGATATTTAGTGAACACTCAAAAAACAATGAATGGTGTTGGAAACCCAATTTGAACATACAGGGTTTGATGTACTGCGTGTTTTAAAATCTAGTTCCGTGACAGTCATATTTAAATAGATGCATTGAGTTGAATAGTTGAATAGTATGAACCTGAACTGAAGGTGCTTATGGAATAGATTTCTCCCCCTTGGTCTTATTTTCCCCTGAAATACTTTTTTCTTGGTTTGGGGGACTGTAGAGTAGAATGCAGAAAGAAGGGGGAATGTGCAACAGTCTGCCTCCAATTATTACATGAGCTCTTGCTTCATTCACAGAAGAACTCAAAAAGAGGGAAGAGGGTGATCCTGTGTATTTCCCTTCAAGCTGTAGCTCCCCCCCCCACACTGCACCCACTCTGTTCCCAAGGGGCTGCCAACCCACGTGAGCATTTTTCAGGGAGAATAGGGAATGATCAGTGCCATAAACTTCTTCCATTCATGGTCCAAAGGATCTAGCTTATGAAGAAGAAGAGGAGGAGGAGGAAATTGGATTTATACCCCACCCTTAACTACCCAAAGGTGTCTCAGAGCGGCTTACAATCTCCTTTCCCTTCCCCTCCCCACAACAGACACCCTGTGAGGTAGCCGGGGGTGAGAGAGCTCTGACAGAACCTGCTCTTTTCAAGAACACCTCTGACAGAACTATGGCCTGCCCAAGGTCATCCAGCAGCTGCATGTGGAGGAGTGGGGAATCAAACCTGGTTCTCCCAGATTAGAGTCTGCGCATTTAACCACTACACCAAACTGGCTCTCTAAAAGAATACAACTGTTATGATATAAAAGGAAGACTCCCCACCTCCTTTCACATCCACCCAACAATGGCACAGTGACATTGTCTTTATCTTTGTTCGTTTCCATAGGTGGGAAAAGTTCATTTCGGTTATGTGTACGGCATGAGTGCCATTGGATGCATCACAATCCATGCTCTGTTGAATCTGATGAGCATAGCAAGTGTTTCGTATGGATGTGTGGCCAGTGTACTAGGCTACTGCCTGCTGCCAATGGTGATCCTGTCCAGCTATGCAGTGATTTTCTCCTTACAGTAAGTAGCGCCTCATTTGGAATGCTGGCAGGTTGCTTTGAATGGTTGGGGGCAGGGCTGGCCCTATGGGTGAACCTGGCATTCGCCTAGGGCACCAGGCTTTAAGGGGCACCAAATTAGACAGGAGCAATTTTAGTTTATAGCATTTATACATGTGTGTTTTTGTGTGTGTGTGCGTGTGTGCATGCGTTATTGCTAGGTCACAGAAGTTATGGTTTGTCTAGGACATCAAAAACTCTTGGGTTGGCCCTGGCTGGGGCAGGAAGATCATATTCATACTCTGGGATTGTTTGGGACTGAGAACCCACACTGGAGTCTGAGGGAAATGGTGGGGAAAGAGGATATGGCAGGTTGGGTCTTTAAAAACATTTAAGAATTATATCGATGGATTATGCCATGGATAAAATCTCAGATGTTGTTGTAAAATCTGACACACTGGTTCATAAACCTAATTTACAATTGAAATGGTTACCTTTTCTAAAATATATGTTTAACTCTGAATCCACTAAATTCACTGTTCCACAGAAATTTTATGACGTTTTTAATCACATGTAGTTAATGTATATTAGTATTATATTATTTGTCACTTCGTTCAATGTCTTAACATTACTACAGACTTGTAATCTTGTTGTTTGTTTTATTGAAAATAAAAATTGTTATTAAAAAAAAAGAATTATATCGATGGATCAGATCGCAAATCTATTGGAAGGCAATGGTAAACCCCATCTCCTCTTCTCTTGCCTTGGAAACTTCATGAGGGATCGCCATTGACTTGATGGCACATACTACTACTGCTGCTGCTGCTACTGCTGCTGCTACTACTACTACTACTATTACTACTACTACTACTAAAGAATCTTGCAAATTCATCTGTAATTCCCAAGAACCTGGCTAGATTTCAAATTGCAGAACACCCGCTACCAGTCAACTATCTGACTGACAATTAATAACAATAATAATAATACAACAGTTGACTCGCCAGATGTTCTCATAAGCTCATAAACAGGATATGATACCTGTCCTCATCATGCAATGCTAAAAGATACACTGTATTTATAGACAGTAGCTAATAGCTAATAGCCATGAAAATACTTCTCAACCGTGAATCGCTCTAATCCAGTATTTTATAACAATCCAATAAACAGACCTCCCACCGTACTCTCTGCTTTATGCCTGGCCTCTTACCTGTTACATCCCTCCACCTCTTTTATCCCATGTCAAAACAGTCGTAGCAGAAACCGTAGAACAATTCTGGAAAGCTGCAGCCAGGAAATAGTAAAGCTCCCAGTTGCTTCTTGTGAAAAATTTCTATAAATCCATTTTGCTGTCACAGATGTTCATTTTGGGGGGGAGTTCTTCATAGCAAAGTAAGGTTTTGTACCTTACTCCATATTTCCACATAACAGTTCAAGCCAGCCTTGGCCATAACCCAGATTCTAAAGGCTTTCTTCTTCCCTTGATAAGACAGACCATGGTTTAGCTGAAGGAGCCATTAATTCTATCGTGCCTTGACAGCAATCAGCAGGTGCAATTGATTAACCCAGTTAATAATTTTTATTTATACAGTGATGTCTATGTGTGTTTAAAAGACAGATGGGACTCATTCCAGAGGACAGCTGTCACACTGGATTCAGAACTATTACTGATTTAATCAAGTGGCCAATGAATGAAACCATCCAGTGAACTAAATAAAATTTAATTTGTAACATTCTTGGAACAGGGACCTTTTTTAATGTCATGCTGTAAATCTCCACATAGCTCTACACGAATAGCTTATATAAATTTTATATAAGACTTTAATAAACTCAGGGGCATGATGAGAATCATCCCATGGGCAAGACTGCTGGAAGGGAAAGGAGCAAGTGAAGGGTGGGCTCTCCTCAAACAAGGGCTCTTGCAAGTTCCAGGCGTCGCTATTCCAACAAGAAGGAAACATGATAGGGGATCCAAGAAGCCAGTGTGGATGAACAGAGAACTGTGTGATGTGCTAAGGGAGAAAAAGGAAATGTCCAAGCAGTAGAGGCAAGGACATACCTCTGAAGAAGAGTGTCTGTGGGTTGCTAGGCATGGTAGGTCAGCCATCAGAGAGGCCAACGTTCACAGTGAGCTATAGCTGGTCAGGGAGGCGCGCTATAACAAAAAAAAACTTTGGATATGTGAGAAACAAACGCAAGATGAAAGAGGCAATGGGCCCACTGTTGAGTGAAAATGGAGAAACTCTGGCAGAGGACAGAGAGAAAGCAGAAAGGCCTACTTTGCCTCAGTTTCCCCCCTGAAGAAGAGAACAGGCTCATCTAGAGATGGTAGTAGCCAAGGCACAGTGTCTGGGCTGCTGGTTGACATGGACAGAGAAGTAGTTGAGAAGCACTTGGCTGCACTGAATGAGTACAGATCCCCTGGGCCAGATGGTATCCACCCAGGAGTGCTGAATACACTGGAAAAGTGGGTGGATGTGAACAAGATGCAATTTAACAAGGATAAGTGCCGAATTCTACATCGGGGTAACAAAAATGAGGAACACACATACTGGATTGGGGATACACTTCTGGGTAGCAATGTGTGTGAACAAAATCTTGGGGTAAGGGTGGACCATAAGTTAAATATGAGCAGGCAGTGTGATACAGCGACAAAAAAGGCTAATGTGATCTTGGGGTATATTAACAGAGGCATAACATCCAAATCACAAGATATCACACTCCTGCTGTACACTGCATTAGTCAGGCTACACCTGGAGTATTGTGTGCAGTTCTGGAGGCCTCACTTCAAACAGGATGTGGACAGAATGGAGTGGGTGCAGAGGAGAGCGATGAGGATGATCAGGGGCCTGGAGACCAAGCCCTGTAAGGAAAGGCTGAGGGACTTGGGAATGTTCAGTCTGGAGAAGAGGAGGTGGAGGGGGGACACAACTGCTCTCTTGAAGTATCTGAAGGGCTGTCACTTTGAGAAGGGCAGGGAGCTGTTCCTGTTGGTAGCAGAGGATAGGACTTGCAATAATGGGTTTAAATTAAGGGCGGGAAGGGAAAACCTTTTTTGCAGTAAGAGTTGTTCAACAGTGGAATCAGCTGTGTTGGGAGGTGGTGAGCTCCCCCTCACTGGCAGACTCTAAGCAACAGCTGGACAAACGCTTGCCAGGGATACTCTAAGCTGATCCTGCATTGAGCAGGGGGGTGGACTAGATGTCCTCTATGCCCCCTTCCAACTCCATGATTCTATGATTCTAAATTAATAAAACCATACAAAGATAGTGTGCATCCTTTCAAATTGGGTGTCTTATGAGCAGGAGAGGGAGAAAAATGAATGCATTCTGAACACGAATTGTAGAAAATATAATCTGTTACAAAAATAATATGTGCTACAACAAGAATATCATAAGCACATAACCTATTTGTAAGTGCACTTACACAACTAGTTTCTACTTAAAGATTCCTCCAAACAGTTATTTCTTCATTATGTACTGCTGCTGACCATATTGTATTCATACTTCCAGAGCATCATAAAAACGCACAGGTCCTTTAAGAAATCAACATGTTAACATTTTAAAAAGCATTTGCATATCATTGAAAACCCAAACAGTGTTGAACAGACTAGTTGTCTCCAGCCTTTCCAGATCCAAGAACCCCTAAGCATGGGACCTGCTAAGCTGTAGGCATATGACAAGAAGTCATGCGGCATAAAAGCCATGTGACAGGAAGAGGTGGAGCTAATGTTATGACCTTACCAGTGTTGAGGCCAGAACCATGGACAGCAGACCAAAACAGCTGGAAACAGAATACGCAAGCCAGGCACCAGGAGGAGCAAGGAACAAGTGTGGGCCAAAAGACCAGAGCTATGGAGGAAGCCTTCCACCGGTGAGTGACCTCAACTTGCATACCTGCTCACCTTTTCATCACGTACGCAAGGCATGCAGCAGAAACTTCCAAAATGGCTACTCTATAGGAGCTTGTGACCTGGCAGGACACACCTGATGGGCCTGACCCATGAGCTGTAAACCGCTGGAACAAAGTGGTGCCAATGCCATGCAACAGAGGTGTTGTGTTTTTTTTAAAGGAGCCACAATTGCTTCTTTCTGCAGCCACAGAATTCAGCAACATATTTAATGTTTGAAGTACAGTTGATTAATTGGTTCTTGAAAGCTCCTATCAAAGTGAAACTCTATTTGAAATTTGAAGTTCAGAATATATCAAAGATTCTGCCAATGACAAATATCTGATTCAGGATAACCAGTCTTCTATGTATGAAAACTAAAGCCCTCTCCAAGAGCCTAGCTTCCTTAAATAGTGTGAACCTGCCATATATAAAATGTTCAGATACCCGCAAAGGCGTAATCTGGTGCATGCATAAACTAAGCAGCAATTCATCACGAATTAAAATTTAAAACCAGTGGTTGGGAAGCATGAACACTTTGTAACAATAAATCTTACCCAAGAAAGCAATAGTTTGCATTGGGTCCTTTCGTGGAAACCTTGTATGTGTAAGGTACAGGGTAGGTGTACGTGCTTGGGATGTGTTTGCTGCAGGGCTATTTTTGGGCAGGAACGCACAGGAACGAAGTTCCGGCTGGCTCCCGAGTTGGCCACGCCCAGCAGGAACTCATTAGCATAATAGGCCACACCCAACAGCAGAAACTCATTAGGATTGGCTACATTAGGGGTGTGTGGCCTAACATGCAAAGGAGTTCCTGCTACAAAAAAAGCCCTGGGTTTTGACAACAAACAAGGTAAACAGAATAACAAGCAAAAGGTGGGTGTGGCTGGATGACCACACTTCTGGTAACATGGGGGTGCGTTCTAATGTGCTAATGAGCTGTGCTGGCAGGGGCGTGGCCTAATGTGCTAATGAGTGTCTGGTGTTGGGTGTGGCCTATTATGCTAATGAGTTCCTGCTGGGCTTTTTCTACAAAAAGATCCCTGGTTTGCTGTGTCCGGTATTGATGGAAATGGGACTTGGAACTTTTTTGTTCTGAAATTCAGCTTTCTTCCCCTTGTTGCTTTTGTGGCGTTAACTGGCATGGCCATTTGTAGTTGCTGTTATTTCATCAGCTGGGATTGCCTCCCTCCCTGAAGCTCAGTTTAAGGACCTAGTTTTTGAAGAGGTTGAAATGAGCAGGTTTGTTAAGGATTATTTCCCTTTTGGATTGGCTTAGGGCCTAATGAGACAGGACCCTGGGAGATTCATAACTGGATTTTCCCCAGTGGGGTTGTTTTTTTAAAAATTGAAAGTAGCCGCCACATGGGGCTCAGACTGAAACACGGGGACTAATAACCCTTCCCCATTGCTAGGTTGTTGCTCTGACCTGATAAGTCAGGGTCAGGAAGCAATCCTGGAGGGTTTTTGTCATCTTGTGGGCATAGAACAGCAGTCACTCACTGCAGGTGTCAAGGGGGAGGTATTTGTGAATTTCCTGCATTGTGCAGGGGGTTGGACTAGATGACCCTGAATCACTCTATGATTCTAAGTCCCTTGTGGACATACAGGCACTTTGTATGTTTTCCACTAAGCCACATAATAGTCAGCGAGACCATTTACGGCTGGAATAATACAGTGGATGAAAGGGTTGAGCTGTCTTCCCCAGTACCATGTTGGGGCCTGCTGAAGCTACTGTTTAAAAAGGGGGGGGGGGATGGGATCTCCCACTGTAAGACTTTCAGTGTGACGTGTAGTTAGTCCCCTGTAGTGTTTGTGTGTGAGATAAAGAAAATGGGCACGACCCGGGAAAATGAATTTGAACTCAGCGTGTCGTGGAGAGAACTCCACTTAGGGGGAAGGAGGAGTAACAGGGACAAGAAAAAGCAAGAGAGTAGCAACCAATTATTTGTAATTTGCTCTCTTCTGTTTCCCCAAAGCCATCCATTCTCATTAGGTATTGATGGAATTGCTGCTAGCTACTGCCCTCAGCTTGTGGGACAAGGGGACGGGGGAAATGAAGGAAATAGAAGCGAGCCTGCTGCTTCTACAAAAAGTAATCCTATGGAATGTTAATATGGAAGACTCCGTCTCAGTCCCTCAGTCTTTTGATCCCACAAGTGTGTTTCTGATGGGGGTTGGGGGGGGGGGAGCTCTAAAAAAGTGAACAGTCAGTCCAAACTACAATTCCCAGGAATCTTTGGGTGAACCTAGGTTAGTGAATCAGCCTGCCAACCTCCAGGTGGAGAGCTCCTAGAATTATAGCTAATCTCTAGACTACAAAGATCAGATTCCCCTGGAGAAAACTGCTGCTTTGGAGGGTAGACTCTATGGCATTATACCCCACTGGGGTACCTCTCCAGGTTCCACTCCCAAATCTCCAGGACTTTCCAAATCCTGCACCGGCAGTTCTTTTAGTGAGACTGCTATAAAGCCAAAAGAAAACCTGGTTCACATGTTTAGGAGAATGAGGTAGTTAGAATGGAGTGTTCCATTTCAGATGGTGGATGGTCAAAAACATTGTTGTTGTTCAGTCACACAGTCGAGTCCGACTCTTTGCGACCCCATGGACCACATCACGCCAGGCCTTCCTGTCTTCCGCCGTCCTCTGAAGTTGGCTCAATTTCATATTCGTTGCATCGATGACACTGTCTAACCATCTCATCCTTTGCCGTCCCCGTCTTCTTTGACCTTCAATCTTTCCCAGCATCAGGGTCTTCTCCAGTGAGTGCTCCCTTCTCATTGGGTGGCCAAAGTATTTGAGCTTCAGTTTCATTATCTGGCCTTCCAGGGAACAGTCAGGGTTGATTTCTTTTAGGATTGACTGATTTGATCTCCTTGCAGTCCAAGGGACTCTCAAGAGTCTTCTCCAGCACCATAGTTCAAAAGAATCTATTCTTCGGCGCTCGGCCTTCCTTACAGTCCAACTCTCGCAGCCATACATGGCTACTGGGAATGGCATTGCTTTGACCATGCGGACTTTTGTTGGCAGGGTGATATCTCTACTTTTTATCATGCTGTTTAGGTTCGCTATCGCTTTCCTCCCAAGGAGCAGGCGTCTTTTAATTTCATGGCTGCTGTCACAGTCTGCGGTGATCTGGGATCCCAGGAATGTGAAGTCTGTCACTACTTCCACGACTTCCCCTTCTATTTGCCAAGGAGTGATGGGGCCGGATGCCATGATCTTAGTTTTTTTGATGTTGAGCTTCAAGCCCACTTTTGCGCTCTCCTCTTTTACCCTGAGCAAGAGGCTCTTTAGGTCCTCTTCACTTTCTGCCATCAGAGTGGTATCGTCTGCATATCTGAGGCTGTTGATCTTTTCCCCAGCAATCTTAATTCCCGCTTGTGATTCATCCAGGCCAGCATTTCGCACGATGTACTCTGCATATATATTAAATAAGCAAGGTGACAATATACATCCTTGTCGTACTCCTTTTCCTATGCTAAACCAATCAGTTGTTCCATATCCGGTTCTAACTGTCGCTTCTTGGCCCTTATACAGGTTTCTCAAGAGACATGTGAGGTGGTCTGGTACTCCCATCTCTTTAAGAACCTGCCATAGTTTGGTGTGATCCACACAGTCAAAGGCTTTAGCATAGTCAATGAAGCAGAAGTAGATGTTTTTCTGGTACTCTCTTGCTTTCTCCATAATCCAGCGAATGTTGGCATGCACATAGAAAAAACTAGCACAGCAGGAAGAAACAGTCTACGCCCTCTCCTTGCTGGCCATGTCCGTTTTCTGTTTGTAGGGATATTTTTAGCAGAAGGGAACATTTCAGAATCCCCCACCTGCACTCAGAGATGGCGGACTCCTGTCTCCCACCTCAGCATTTTACCGCCAGCATGAGCCAGCGCAGAAATGCCTGTATCAAGATGGTATAATGCACATATGACAATGATGTTTATATTGTCCTCTTCTCCCCCCCCCCCCCGTGCTGGATGCTTCTGTTTGTTTGTCTTGCAGTCCTAGCAAATTAGATAGCAGCTGAGGAGAGCCAGCTTGGTGCAGTGGTTAAGAGCAGTGGACTCTCATCTGGAGAACCGGGTTCGATTCTGCACTCCTCCATATGAATCCAGCTCACTCACAGCTCTTAGAGCACTCTCTGAGTCTGCCCCCAAATAAGTATAGCTCGCCACCTGATGGTTCATAATGCTAAAAAAAAACCCTAGTACTTTAGGTCGCCAGACAATCTTAGGATCTCCTGGCTATACCACACACAATGCCATATGATAATAATTATCATTAGATAGCAGCTTGCTAATCTAATACTTGCCACCACTTCATCTTTTTAAAAGCTGCAAATTATGAAACACTTCTCCCTCTGAAGCAAAAAGTGAGTCCCCCCCTCCCCTTGGTTTGTTTGCCTTTTACGTTGTTTTGTTTCAATTTGCTGCTAGCCCGTGGCGATCATCGCATGCCTGGATTAGCAAAAAAGTCGGAATGTTGTCATGATACTCCTCTTCCTAATCCGTGACATTTTCCCTTTTGCTGTCGTTTCTTGCAGGGGGATTCTAGGAACGCTGCTAGCCCTGACGATCATCGGATGGTGCAGCCTCTCGGCCTCCAAAATATTCACCTCCGCTTTGGCGATGGAAGGCCAGCAGCTCCTGGTCGCCTACCCCTGCGCTTTGCTCTATGGCCTGTTTGCACTCATGACAGTTTTCTGAGCTGCACTTTCTGACTACTCTACCCTGTCTACATAATAGCTAATTGCAGGTTTGAAAAAAAACGTCTTCGGTAAATCTTTTAGAGTGGCTGTAGACAAAGAAACGATCAAATTAAAGCATGGGACGAATAGGTGCAGAGGAATGGTGGTTATGCCAATTCACCTTCACTGGATCAGATGGTGTGTGACAAAAGTAAGAAGAAAGCCTCAGGTAAACCCAGGCTGAATTCTTTGGAGGTCTGTAGCTATTGGCTAAGAGAGCTCTGACTTCAGCGGACTGAAATGGGCCCTCTCCGCCACTGGTTCCGTTAATGAGATGCTATGGAATGCTCTGAGGTTGCTGTTTTTTTAAAAGGCTGTGGGTACACAGTGCCCAGAAGTAAGCAGGGCTGTATGCCATTGGTTGGAAGGAGGACAGCAGAAAAGTGAGTAGATAAGGCTCACATCAGTTGTTGCACATTGGCTCAGTTCAGACATGTTTTATTCTAAGTTTGATCAGCTTGTGGAACCAGCTTGTTCATTTCCAAAGGCTGGGCTCACTGCCTTCACCCTTTCTCTTACCTCCCCAGCAGAGTCCTGGCTGCTGTCCTAGCAAGCATTGCAGTGAGGAGGAACAAGCCAGGATCGATGTATCATTACACTACATAAAGCCATAGGGCTCTTTTTGTAGAAAAGGCCCAGCATGAACTCATTAGCATAATAGGCCACGCCCAACAGCAGAAACTCATTAGCATATTAGGCCACACCCACGACAGCACGGCTCATTGGCATATTAGGCCACACCCCCATGCTACCAGAAGTGTGCTCATCCAGCCACACCCACCTTTTGCTTCTTATTCTGTTTACCTTGTTTGTTATCCAAACCCAGGGCTTTTTTTGTAGCAGGAACCCCTTTGCATGTTAGGCCACACACCCCTAACGTAGCCAATCCTAATGAGTTTCTGCTGTTGGGTGTGGCCTATTATGCTAATGAGTTCCTGCTGGGCGTGGCCAACTCAGGAGCCAGCCGGAACTCCGTTCCTGTGCGTTCCTGCCCCAAAATAGCCCTGGCCATAGTTAATATTAGCTGTGGTTCAAACGGTGCCGTCTGAAACACAGTTATGCCCTTCTAAGTTCCATGTGAATGTGGCAGTCTATGACAGCGTGAGGGGAAACCCGGTACAAAGAAGGTCTCATCATGGAAGGGAACCTCCGTGTGCAAAAACGCATGCTCCCCTCCAGCCATCCCAGTCCCATCTAAATGGTTTCTATTCTTCCGTCACCCGATAATGCATCACACTCCATTAACGAAATTAGATTATATGATTTACATTTTATTTGTTTAATGGATAAAAATGAAATAAAACTGGTGAGAGAATGTTAATAATTGCTTAGCAAGAGCATTAAAGCGATAAATGTTTGCTTTTAAAAGGATTTGACTGAACTGACTGTAAAAAATATACATTAACCACTTGAAAATTGTTGGGTTTAAAAAAAAAACATTAAAAGCACCCCTCACCCTTTGTACCATTTGGACCTGAAATGTGAATGCGTGACATTTGCAGTTTCCAGTTTTGCTATTTAGTGACCAAGGCTCTTTTCTTAGAAGTTATTTGCCCTGGGTCTCTGTTGTGTCCGCTGACCGCCACCGGAGGTCAGCGCACACTCCTGAGCTTCAGTCCGGCACAACAATGGGACTAGGATTCTAGTCCCTCCACTGGGGGGAACCAATGGGACCTTGGCGGGAGATTCAAACCCACCAATGGGACCAGGGGAAGCCCCTGGACTGTGTATATAGTTGGCCTGCCGGCCGTTAGTTCTTAGTCTTGTTGTGTACCAGTAAAGCCATGCTGATCACTACATCAGTTTCCATGCTTTCTTTACGCGTCTAACCCACTACACTTCAATGGCGACGAGGATGGGATCCCGCTGAGCAACCAGCCGGGCTGTCGGACGCTAAGGGGAAGCCAACGCACCGCCGCCCGCGCTCCGTCGATCGATGAGCACCGAGGGTGAACAATCCGCTTCCCAGCCGCAACCGACCAGCACAATGGCCCTTGCTCCGGGATCAGGGCTGATACAGCCATTCGACACGGCGCGCCCTCAGCAATGGGGAGCTTGGATCACCGGCGTGAAGCAAGTTCTCATCTTCTGCCAGGTGACGGACGAGGCCAGGTGACGGACGAGGCCAGAAAGAAAGGGCTTCTACTCGGGACATGCGCCCCCGCCATAGTGGAACTAGCCCAGCATCTGATCTCTCCCAAAACGTTTGATGACTGCACCTTCGAGGAGTTAGTCAACGCAGTCCAGAACCACTACACGCCGAAGCCGTCGGAGATGACCTGCCACGTGGCGTTCCAGCATCGGAACCAGCTAGGCCGCGAGACAGCTGCGGAGTTCCTCGCCGAGCTCCGCCGCCTGGCCGCGGATTGCAAGTTCGAGGGTCACTTAGAAATGGCGCTGAGGGACCGGTTCGTCGCAGGCCTGCGGGAGGAGAAGCTGAGGCGACGCATCATGGAGGGCGAGAAGGTCACCATTGCGTCGGCCATGGCCACCGCATCTGCCTGGGAAAGGTCCCACCCAGCCACCTCGACCGCACATCAAGCCAACACCGGGACACCCAATAGCCCGGATGAGGACGTCCACCGCACGCAAGCTCCGCGGCGCACCCCACGGGCGAACGCGAACTCCGGTCGCCAGCCGCCCAACACAATCCAGCCCGGGTGCGCCAGCTGCGGGGATCCGCACGACCGGAATACTTGCCGGTTCAGGGGAGCTGTTTGCCGGACCTGCGGGCGCACTGGACACATCGCCCGCGCCTGTCGCGCCAAGGTCCCCAGCCGCGGCCAACCTCCGCGCCACCGAGCGGAGGCCCACTTCGAGGACGGCGCGGATAGCGAGGACCTCTACAGGATCGCGCACACCGAGGAAAAGGTACTCCAACTCCCCGGGAAGGCGGCCCACCCCAAATTTATGGTGACCGTAGAAATAGAAGGGTCCCCCTGCCGCATGGAGATAGACTCGGGCTCCGCGGCCTCCATCATCTCGGAGGCCACGCTCAAGCAGTTATGCCCCAGGGGGGGGCCGCGGTTGCGGCCAGCACAAGTCACCCTCATGGACTTCCAGAGAAACCCGGTGCCAATAAAGGGGGTCGGGACCTTTAGGGTGCAATACGGACAGTTGAAAAGGCGGTTGGACTTGATTGTGGTCGCCGGCGACCTAGTGAGTCTGCTGGGGCGGGCTTGGTTCGAGCCTCTGGGAATCACCGTCGAGGGAATACAGCTGTGCGCCGCCCAGGGCTACGAGGGAATCTGCCGGGAATTCCCCACGGTTTTTGATGATTCGCTGGGCAGGTATACGGGCCCCCCGGTGTCGTTGCGCATAAACCCCCAGGTAGCCCCAATCCGCATGCGAGCCAGGTCGGTTCCGCTTACGGTTAAGCCAAAAGTCGATGCGGAACTGGATCGCCTAGTAGCACAAGGCATCCTGGAACCGGTCCCCCATGCCGCATGGGAGACCCCCACTGTCGTGGTGGAAAAACCGAATGGGGCGGTCCGCATTTGCGCAGACTACAAATGTACGCTGAATAAGGCGCTCCAGGACCACGCTTACCCGGTCCCAGTAGTGAGCCACGTACTAGCCACCCTAGGTGGAGCAAAGATTTTCGGCAAGCTGGATCTGGCCCAGGCCTACCAGCAGTTGCCGGTAGACGAGGCGACTGCCGATGCGCAAACGATAGTAACCCACCGGGGGGCATTCCGTGTGAAGCGACTCAGCTTCGGGGTAAGCGTGGCACCCGGGTTGTTCCAGCAACTAATGGACTCTCTCCTAAAAGGGATTCCGGGCGTCACACCCTTCTTCGATGATGTGATGATCGCCGCCGCCTCGCCTGCGGAATTTGCGGACCGTCTCCGCATGGTGCTCCGCCGTTTCCAGGAGGCGGGGCTAAAAGTCAAGATGGACAAATGTCGGCTGGGGGTGCAGTCAGTGGACTTTTTGGGATTCACAGTCGATGCGGAGGGCCTCCATCCGACACGGGACAAAATAAAGGCGATTGTGGAAGCCCCCCCGCCGAAATCCAAAACCGAACTGCAGGCGTTTCTAGGAATCTTAAACTTCTACCACGCTTTTTTGCCCCACAAGGCGGCGGTAGCGGAGCCCCTTCACCGGTTGCTGGACAAGCTGGCCCCCTGGGAGTGGGGCCCCCGTCAGGCCGCCGCGTTCCACAACGTAAAAAAACTGTTAATATCAAACGCGGTCCTGGCCCATTTCGATGAGACATTACCGGTGGTTTTGGCATGCGATGCCTCGCCTTACGGGGTCGGGGCTGTGTTGGCTCACCGTTTGGCCGACGGCAGGGAGGTCCCGGTCGCTTATTACTCTCGAACCCTTTCTGCGGCGGAGCGGAACTACGCCCAGATCGACCGGGAGGGTCTCGCAATTGTGGCCGGGGTCAAGAAGTTCCACGACTACATATACGGCAGGCCGTTCACCATTGTCACAGACCATCGCCCGCTCCTCGGCCTCTTCGCGCCCGACCGCCGGACGCCGCAGGTTCTCTCGCCGCGAGTCCTAAGGTGGACTATTTTCCTCGCTGGCTACAATTATCTGCTCCTACACCGCCCCGGGAAAGCCATGGGCCACGCGGACGCTCTTAGCCGCCTCCCACTACCTGAGGTGGTTGAGGACCCGGCCCCAGCCTTCCGGGTCCTTCAGCTGGAGGGCCTGCCGGAGGCCCCGTTGCAAGCGCGGGACATTGCCCGCCGCTCGGCTCGGGACCCCGTGGTATCCCGGGTTCTGGGCTGGGTGGTGAGGGGGTGGCCTGAGAAGACAGACCCTGAGTTCGCGGCGTATGCTACCCGGCGGGACGAACTTTCTGCACACAAGGGATGCCTGCTATGGGGAGACAGGGTCGTGGTCCCACACGCATTACGCCAGAGGGTCCTCCAGGCACTGCATGAAGCTCACCCGGGCATCGTCCGGATGAAAGGGCTGGCAAGAAGCTACGTCTGGTGGCCCGGCATCGACGCAGAGGTGGAAGCATGGGTCAAGCGTTGTCAGCCCTGCCAGGCGGTGAGACCCAGCCCACCGGGGGCACCAGCGCAGGCGTGGGAATCCACCCGTACCCCGTGGTCCCGGCTCCATATAGACTTCGCAGGGCCATTCCAGGGACGGCTATTCCTGGTCACGGTGGATTCCTACTCAAAGTGGCTGGAAATAAGCCCCGTGGCTGCAACGTCCGCAAAAGCCACCATCCGCGCCCTACGAGGACTCTTTGCCACACACGGGCTGCCGGACACCATCGTGTCGGACAACGGGACGGCTTTTACGTCCGAGGAATTCCAGCAGTTCCTCAGCAGCAACTTGATCCGACATGTCCGGTCAGCGCCGTTCCACCCCGCAACCAACGGCCAAGCGGAGCGAATGGTCCGAACCGCAAAGGAGGCCTTGAGCCGGATGGTGGAAGGGGAATGGGAATGCCGCATCGCCAGATTCCTCCTGACCCAGCACACGACTCCCAACCCTGTCAGCGGAAGGTGCCCAGCAGAACTACTGATGGGTCGAAAGCCAACGATCCTTTTGGACCGCCTGCACCCCGACCGGGCCCCCGACCAAAGAAACGCAGTCGAGCAGAGGGAAGCACCAAGGGGGTTCTTCCCAGAGGACCCGGTTCTCGCCAGAAACTTCGGCCGCGGTCCGGAGTGGATTGCGGGCCGCATACTCCGGCCCCTGGGTACCGTGATGTACGAGGTATCCATGGAGTGCGGGCAGATATGGAGAAGGCACATCGACCAGCTCAGACAGCGAGTGCTACCGGAGTCCCAGACAGAGGAAGAGACGAGACAGCAGACGGAACCTAGAGAGACCACACCCGAGGCGACTGCACAGGACTTGCCAGCCGAGGAGCACCCGGCACAGGGCCCCACGGCCCCAGCTTCGGTCGAGGAAAACCCCGTTCCGGAGGCGGCGGAAGCAGGAGCACCAGCTCCCTCTTCAGAACCCGGCCCTGAGGTCGGAATTCCGGAAGCACGAGGGGCCACCCCTCGACGGTCAGCTAGAGTACGACGGTCCCCATCGTACTTAAAGGACTACGTGACTTAGGGGAGGGCCCGGACTATGGGGGGAGGGATGTTGTGTCCGCTGACCGCCACCGGAGGTCAGCGCACACTCCTGAGCTTCAGTCCGGCACAACAATGGGACTAGGATTCTAGTCCCTCCACTGGGGGGAACCAATGGGACCTTGGCGGGAGATTCAAACCCACCAATGGGACCAGGGGAAGCCCCTGGACTGTGTATATAGTTGGCCTGCCGGCCGTTAGTTCTTAGTCTTGTTGTGTACCAGTAAAGCCATGCTGATCACTACATCAGTTTCCATGCTTTCTTTACGCGTCTAACCCACTACACTTCAGTCTCCCTCCCCCCTTTCCCACAGCATCATGGTACATTCGTGCACCACCTGGGGTCTCCCAGGCATTTTTTGTTTGTTTTGATATTTCTCAAACATGCTTTGATGTGCAATTTTGGGAGAGATAACATCCAAATCACAAGATGTCATAGTCCCGCTGTACACTGCATTGGTCAGGCGACACCTGGAGTATTGTGTGCAGTTCTGGAGGCCTCACTTCAAAAAGGATGTGGACAGAATGAAGCGGGTGCAGAGGAGAGCGATGAGGAAGATCGGAGACCTGGAGACCAAACCCTATGAGGAAAGGCTGAGGGACTTGGGAATGTCCAGTCTGGGGAAGAGGAGGTGGAAGGGAGACATGATTGCTCTCTTTACGTATGTGATGGGCTGTCACTGAGAGGAGGCAGGGAGCTGTTCCTGTTGGCAGCAGAGGAGAGGGCTCACAATAATGGGTTTAAATTAAGGGTGGACAGGTACCAGCTGGATATTAGGAAAAACTTTGATACAATCAGAGTTGTGCAACAGTGGAATCGGCTGCCTAGGGAGGTGGTGAGCTCCCCCTCACTAGCAGTCTTTAAGCAGCGGCTGGACAAACACTTGTCAGGGAGGCTCTAGGCTGATCCTGCACTGAGCAGGGGGTGGGAATAGATGGCCCCTTCCAACTCTGTGATTCTATGGTTCTATGATACGGCTGGGATGGCTGCTGGGTGGGAGGGGAAGTTTGGATTTTCCCAGTCTCACCCACTCAGCAGCCATTTCCTCCCCCCTCCACTGGGGGGGGCTTTTTGTTTTTCTTAATCAGCAATCAATTATCACTGTGCCATTACAGATTCATAGAGTTGGAAGGGGCCACACAGGGTATCTAGTCCAACCCCCTGCTCATTGCAGGATCAGCCTAGAGCGTCCCTGACAAGTGTTTGTCCAGCCGCTGCTTAAAGATTGCCAGTGAGGGGGAGCTCACCACCTCCATGTGAAGCTGATTCCACTGCTGAACTACTCTGACTCTAAAAAATAACTTTCCTAATATTCAGTTGGTACCTTCCCGCCCTTAATTTAAACCCATTATTGCGAGTCCTCTCCTCTGCTGCCTACAGGAACAGCTCCCTGCCCTCCTCTAAGGGACAGCCCTTCAGATACTTCAAGGGAGCAGTTGTGTCCCCCCCTCCACCTCCTCTTCTCCAGACTGAACTTTCCCAAGTCCCTCAGCCTTTCCTCACAGGGCTTGGTCTCCAGGCCACTGATCATCCTAATATAATATTATACCAATGTATTTTTTCAGGTTCTCTGAATTTCCAGCTTTTTAAAAAAGTAAATCTCTAGTTCCTCAGCTTTGAAGAGACTAGGGACTTAAAAGCTAGGAATTCAGAGATCCTGACATTGTTATAACAGTATGATGATATTTAATTGCCAGTTAAAAAGAAACCCTGACAAGTCATGCTGATATGGGGTGGGTGGGGTGGACTGGGGCCCAGGAACTATGGGGAAACCTTATAGGTGGAAGCCCCATGGCCATGCGCTACATCAGCAGCTGCAGCAGTAACAAGGAAACTGCACAAGCATGTCCCTGTAAGGAAAACACCTGGTTGACAGATCATGGCAGTCCCTGGAATAATTTGGTTCCAACTTGATGGCACTTTCCACCACAACTCTAAGAAGTGCAGTGTGCTACTGGTGGGATCCGTGGGATCATGTTTGCAAGACGCACCCGGAGATGCTGGCATGAAGCGGCTGCCACTGCAGGGCTGTGATTTGTGGCAGCTCTGCATACTCTTGAGGGGATGTGTGAACAGGCTCCAAGACCTGGAGTAGACATTCCTAATGCAGTCCTAAGGATCGCTCCCTCTAAGCTGTGGAGTCTTGTGAGCAAAAATTCTACTTTGTGAGCTACTGGCGTTAAAGCTGTGAGCAAGCGATTTGGCAACTGCATAAATTAGTTTGCTCTGGAGCCCTCCTTCCTGAGCGGAGACAAAAATGTGTGAGCCGGAGGCTAAAAAACTGTTAGCTAGCTCACACTAACTCATCTTAGAGGGAACACTCTTCAGCCCCTGGGTCAGGATGCAGCAAGGGCGTCATGCTTCTTTTGCAGGCTTGTGGAGCGATGCAACAGGAAGGCAAGAAAAGTTCTCTCTGTGGTGTGAATTCCTCCACGGCTCTGAACTGTGGCTCATTTCTTTCCGTGGTAAACCTCCTAGTGCCTGGCAGTGTTCCCTCTAAGCTGAGTTAGTGTGAGTTAGCTCACAATTTTTTAGCCTCCGGCTCACACATTTTTGTCCTAGCTGCTTGCTCACAACTTTAATGCCGGTAGCTCACAAAGTAGAATTTCTGCTCACAAGACTCCACAGCTTAGAGGGAACATTGGTGCCTGGCTTGCGTTTCCTGTTCTGCTGCCCACAGTCCTGGTTTTGACACTAAGGAGATGTCCTCTCTTCCTGTCACATACCTTTGAAATCACATGACTGTGACATCATGTACTCTCAGCTCAATGGGTGGGTCTCACGCTCAGTGAATCCTGGGTCTGGGAAGGCTGAAGACCATTGAGATAAGAGACATCCATGAGCCGACCCAATTCCACCAATAAGAATTGCTCTTCCTCACGATTCATAGTTTGCATTTATGGATGACAAACGACTCACTAGCTCAAACTCTGGTGCGTGTTTTCCCTTCCAGGTCCCTAGTCTTAAACAATTCCAAGCACAGATTTGTCTCGGCACTTCACGTGAACAAG